GCGGATACAGACTAACACGGCTGCTACTCTGAAACCTATCCCCTCAGTGAATCTGAAACCTATCCCCTCAGAGAATGTCCATGTTCCAAAGCACTTTGACAAAGTACAGTTAGGAAGGATCTATCCCAATATTTGGACACCTGAGTTACTGACGATGTATCATTCAATATAGTGTAATTGAAATGTTTATGACTGACCACTCACCAAACTACAAAATAATTATAAATGAAAAAAATAAAGAACCAGGGATTAATTACTTTTTCTATTGACTATGCTTGAGAGCCATTAAATATACTATGGTCCCTACTCTGCAAACTTATATACACTTAATATTATGCACGACTAGTGCCACTGGCGTCAATAGTCAGTACTCATGTTTAAAGTTCAGTAGAGCTGCTTGGGAACTTTTTGATGAAAAGTTTAGTTGCAGAGACTGCCACTGTGTCAAAACCAAAATATATCAGTTTCGACTAAGGTTTCAATGGGACAGTTTCTGAAGTTCAGGAGGATGAGAGAGAGAGAGACCTGATCTTTTCTAGCTGTAAACAGGCATTTCAACACAATTCCAGTTTGTGAAAACCTTCAAAAGGTTTTGATTTCATTCCAGTGCAGAATGAAAACAAACGTTGAAAGTTGTCATGAAATGGAATTGTTGTCTTCTGGCCTGCTCAAAAGATCTGCATGAGTGTTTGCTGGGTGAAGCCCTCAATCAACAACGGGCCTGATCCTGAAGTTGTTCTCTGCATGCGATGCTGATTGAAGCTAGTGAATTTTCAGGTAAAGTAAGAAATAGCCCATTAATCTGTTGTGAAGAAGAACACTAAGAGGCAATGTTGTTATGATGACTGAGCCTACAATTCATTACCCACAGTGGAATTACTCTTGTGAGTAGGGGTTTGCAGGATCAGCCAAACATGTTAACATCAGAGATGTGAAAAAAAGCCAATATTATGGCAGCCTAAAGAAAATATTTTTCTGAAATAGGTTTGCCAAATGTTTTTGTTTGGAGGAGAGCATTAAAAGCAGAAGGGTGAAGGTGCAAAATATTTTCAGCATTTTACATGTCATTCCATTTAGAAACACAGGGTTAAATTACACCTTTGTAAACTCCATTTATTTCAGTGGGGTTAGACAGTGTAATTCAGACCAGAATTTGGCCCATAGTTTAAATGACACACTCCTAGATTCTCAGGCCAGAAGGGACCACTGTGATTGTCAAGTCTGACCTCTCATATAGCACAGAACGTCCCCCAAATAATTCCTGTTTGAACTACAGCATAGCTTTTAGATAAACAGCCAATCTGATGGAAAATCCACCACAACCCTTGGTAAATTGTTCTAATGGTTAATCACCCATTATACTGAACTAGGTGAGTAAATACCAAAGTACAGGAAAGGTTAAATTCACAGAGGAACCTGGGCTCCTAACAGCCATTTTAGGCACCTGCGTCCAACACTTAGGCGCCACTGACATTCACAAACCCTCTGCTCAGCTGCTGCCTAATCCTGGAGGCACCTAAATTCCCCAGTGACCTAAATTTCCACTGTTAAAGTTCATAAGGAGCCTAAATTTCAGTAGCTGAGCATGCACACATTAATCTTAAAGCCTGACACCAGCCATCAGCTTGGTGCCTAAGCCCCAATAGGATTCACAAATTGAGCCCCCCTTGCCTGTTTTGCCTTTGGGGCCTGCTGCAGTAGGCATGTTCAGAGCATGCCTAAATCCACAGACATTGGCTGAGATGTGCATGGGGGACGGGGGACGGGGGACGGTGGGCGGGGGAGTGAAGGCAGCCCCTTTATAACTTTTAGCCCAGTGGTTAGGGCACACTCCTGCAATGCAGAAGACCCAAATTCAAATTGCTCCGCCACATCAGGGAGAAGGGGGAACTTGAACCAGCATCACCCACATCCTAGGTGAGTGTCCTGTCCCCTGGGCTAAAAGTTATAAAAATGGGGCGGGGTGGAGGGCAGCATTAGCAGCATTCTTGCAAAAAATGGCTTAGTTGCCAGACTCCAGGAGTGGATTCATGGTTGCAAATCCCGAGTGGAGCTAGGCACCTCCCTCCAGCCCTTTGAGGGGTGGGCCGTAGATCATAACCCTCTCCTTGTCATTTCCTATGGTCTACCTTAGGCACCTCTCTGCTCACTATGCTGGCTTTTGTAAATCCCATTCTTAGGTGCCTAGCTGTCATGATACAATGTATAGGGAGCCTGAGCACTTCACTCAGGGTTGTGAAGTCCACCAGCCATCAGTGCACCTAAAAATAAGTCCCTTTGTGAATCCAGCCTGCAATGTCTAACTTACACTACTGGTGTATTGGTTTCACTTCAACAGGCTATTTACACACATGCCTAACTTTCAGAATGTGAGTAGTCCTGTTGACTTCATGAACTTTTAAGTTATGCATGTATTTATGTACCTTGTTGAATGGGGGGCCAGAGTAGTCAGGAAGGAACTTCTCTGTTGGCTCATTCTTGCACTGAGTCGGTCAAAAACAAAGGGTGCCATACATTATTAAAATATATTGGTCCAGATCCTGCTTACCTCGGCATGCAGAATGCACAATGATGTTACTGGAAGTTTTGTAGTGCAGCATAGAGTCCATACAAGAGCACTACAACTTTCTCAAAGATATGCCACCATTACTAGTGAACTGACTCAAGACAGAAGAAAGGGGTTTGGGGTTTCTTTTGCAATGGCTATGCTGTAACAACTATTTTGTTCTTACCTTATTTGTTTCTTTCTCCCCAATTTAACCACTATAAAAATTCTACTCCTAAAAAGAGTTTCAATAAAAAGAGAGCAATGTCATGACAGGGTTGGAGAAAAAATTGCTACAATTTTGGTGCATGGGAATAGACTGGAATGAGCTATGGAAAAATGACTTCTGCTATCCCTTTTACTTTACATTACCAGGTCCCTTTTTATCAGGAGATTGGGGGAAGCTGGACAGCAATAAGAGAAACCCCCCTAGTATCTGTGCTTATTGTGTCTTTGAATACTCAGGCAGCTTCTTCATTTCTCCCCACATTCTCCCTTTCTTTCTCTCTCTCTCTCTCTCTCGGAATTAACCATCACTTGTTCCATTTAGACAGCAAACACATTGCTTTTTTCACAACCGTCTTCTCTCGGTCTAGCTCATTCTGTTCTTTCTTTTATGGCCTCACCATTCATGAAGCTGTAGTTAAACCTGTCAGCATTTTCATTATAAATTGTATTATTTAACACAGCCTTACAAAGACACTGCAGGATGAAACTTGGCATGTATAGCCTAAGAATGGGTGTGAAATACTTTGCATTTAAAAACATCATAATCGTTTTTTCCATTTGAGTTTTATGTAGGTTAAAAATGAAAAGCGTATACATTGAACGTATCCCCCAAACACATGTAACTGAAGGGCGGTAGCAATTTAACACCTGAATGTTGGCCAATGATTATAGCATAATATGTTCCAATTGCTCGTGGTACAGTTTGAAAAATTAAGTTTACACTGTATGTAAAAGACACATACTAAACTATAATCCTCCACTCATCTTCAGCGTATCTTTCTTTGTTTAAGGGTCCATAAAAGCTTCCCCAATGATTTCAATAGGTTTTGGATCAGGATCCATGTGATTTAATCAATAATTTAGGTCACTGCTTTCTCACCTAGTAACACTGTGTAAACCGATGTTAGCAGGGTTACGCTGAGAGCTACATTAAATATTATGTACGCATTCTTAGGAGCTGATCCCACCATCACTCATGCACATGAGCAATTCAGGTGCATAAATTGTGAGTGTTTACAAGACCTTTACTTACATGTGAATTAGTGTTTAATGAGTACTAAGCATTTTATATTGGCCTGATTTTCAGAGGCATAGCACCCTTTCAGATCCCATTGCTTCACTAGGCTCTGCAGGTGCTTAGTCTTGAAAATCAGGCTGTTAGGGAATTGTTTTAGCTGACCCAATGTGGGGGAGCAGAGACAAAAGCCCAGTCCCCAAAGGTACTTAGGCCTTGCTCCGCTGCAGCGTTGCAATGCCTAACCCACAGTCAGCTGATGCCTAGTGGAATCCTCAACCCCATGCTAAGTGCCCAGGTTCCCATACAATGTATGGGGAGCATTAGGCATCCAAGAAAG